CGGACAGAAACGACCGAGATTAAAGCTCACAAACCCGCCACTTCTCCATCTCCCGCTCTCCTTCCCGACCGCTTCATCCCGCCCGCTCACATCCTGGTTAACAATATCCCTCAACCTCCCTTCGCTCCTCCCGCACTTTTCCTCGGCCTCCCTCGCTCGCACTGACGACGACGACGACGACGCAGACGGGCCGGCAACGACTCGCCAATCGCAAGGAGCTCAGTTGCAGGTCCCGAGCGGGACGTACTCCCACGTATCGTACGTGAAGGTGTACGCGACTTGCCGACTGCGGCGGATATGGTTCAGCGAGGGCGGGCCACAGCAGCGGCTTCCATGGGAGTTCCAGTTGTACGCAGCGGAGAATCCGTAATGACCGGGGATGGAGTTCTTCCTTCGAGCAAACCAGGAACTTTGAACAGCCACTGGCAGACGTTGATCTATACACATACTTGACGAGCACTACGTACGAAGTACGGTACGAGTGATGACGCCGCAACTTGACTTTCTATCAGCTATCAGCATCTCTACTCTCGAAAGATGAACGACACAACTGTCACAAGCTCGTAATTTTAGTTGTAGTGAGGTCGACCAACTGCAGCAAATACGGCCTCTCAATCGTTTCGAGACAGCTTGCTATGGAGGGAGGCCCGAGAATCTCGAACTGGGACATAGTAGTTGATTGGGATTCGTTCGAATTTCTCCGTCGATGGAGAGAGGTCTGAGGAGATCGCAGGCATCTAGGCGGAGCTCCTTGACTGCAGCGAGTGGCTGACATACATACAACAAGACTTCTATATCCTTCTATGTACCTGATGCTCCTCTATGAACAGATCGTGACAAGGCATAAACTCCCTATGCCGGGAGACCCAAAGATTTTGCCAGATAGATGATGAATGACCTCGACAACCGCACGAGCTCTCTCATACGGGCACCATGCGCGCACGCGGGATGAACGCCCAAATGACAATCATCGTCGACATCATGGACACGATGCTGCGTAAAGCCGATCATCCTTCAGCATCTCTGCCTCCGATAAAGGTGAACGACACTCACAATGGTTGCAAACTCGTGATCCCGAACCGCGACGCGAGCAGCCCGGTCAAGAACGGGAGCACAGCCGAGCCGGCCTGGCCGATGCCCGCAATGTAGCCCATACATCCCGTGAGGAGCCAGCGCGGGAGAATCTTCGTGCTGTGGTTCAGGAGGATGGGATACATAGGTCCGAGGAGCATCCCAACGAACGCGACCGCAACAGCGTTCTCGACGAGCGAAGGGACCACCCATACAGTCACTTCTAGCCTGTGAAGAGTGGTTAATTACGACTGTGGAGCTCCAGTACGTAAGTAGAAGACGCACTGGATGGCCAGAAGAGCGTAGAGGAAGAGCGCGCGGCGTTCGCCGATCTGCGCATAACTCATGATCAAAAGGTGCCTGTCAACGTCAAAGAAGGTGCATACCTTCTTGTTGAGCCACATCAGGAGAATCCGCCCGAGCATGAGCCCCGCGAAGAAACCGGATGAGATGTAGCCTGCGTTCGAGTTCCCGTGCCGCTTCTCCTGCACATATGTGACACTCCAGCCGCCGATCGTGACTTCCGTGCCGACGTAGATGAGCGAGAAGAGCGCGAAGATGTGTACAGCACGGATGCTGAAGATCTGCTTGTACTTGTTCGTTTGGATCGCGTCCTGGTCCGGGCTCAGGTCATCAACTTCCTTCTTGATCTCTGTGGTCGAGTGTGAAGATCGCAACTGACGATGAAGTGAATATTCAGGCGCACCTTCCTGCCGTCTGCCACGGAAGACGAACCACAGCAAGATGGAGTTCAGGGCGTACAGGCCTCCGGAGATGAGGTAGTGGTACGACCAGTGGCTCTGCTTCGAGAACTGTGTCGCAATGAGGGGAGATACGAGAGCACCACACCCTGAATCCGTCACAAGAGTGAGTATTGGTACTGTGCGGGAACTCGATGCGGACGTACCGTAAGATGCGTGTAGATAGCCAATCTTGGTGGGAACGTTCTCCTTCGATGCGGCCACATACCCGTTGCAATGTGCGTTTTGGAGGGCCAGGCCGAACCCAATCATCGTAAAGCCCACGCACATGAGCGGGAACGGGCCCGGAGGAAAGAGCATCGCGTACGCGGCAATCTGTAGGACAGAGCCTGGGCATTTCGCTGTTTAACAAACCAACAACAGACGATCCGAGTCATCTCGGCAACTCACCAAATAACATGACTTTCCCGAAGCCGAAACGGTCGGTCAGATACACATTGGCAACCGCGGCCGCAACATAACCCTGTGAATACCGTCAGTCCTATGTTGCTGTGTCGAAAGTCGCATGAGTTCCCGCGCAGGCCGCTTAACCACAGACGCTGTGAACGCGGCGGGCAAGGAGCCTCACGGGACTTTGTCAGCTGCACGCGTACGGTCTCCCATCTCCGCACGCGGCACAAGATAGAAGGTAGCCACGCTTGATATTGATTGGAAGATCTACTCACGACAGCGTTGAAGACGAATATGAGAGAGACCATCGCGAAGCCGATCTTAAGCCACCGTTAGCTGTGTACACTCAGCACCAAAGTGAGATACTGACTCCATAGTACTCTTGAATCCTGGGCAGCAGTGGCCCCGTGGTACCGTCGTTCCACCCGTTCATGAACACTACGAAGCACAGAGTCATGAAATTGGTCAGGCGCTTGCGCTTCAAAGCAGCCTTCTGTGCAGTAGACATAACGGGAGCGGTCGAGTCGGTGTCCTCATCGATCCGGATGGAAGGGGCGAGCGAGCTGGGAAAACTGGGCGCAATTTCGACGTCGTCTTTTTGCGAAGAGAAGACGACATCGTCTTGGAAGCTGATATCAGTCGGGCGGATGCCTGAGGACGTCCCCCTGCTGTAGGGACCGGTGTACTCCTTGATGACAGGAAGTTCGATGGCCTCAGGTTCAATCGCAGGAGGGGAGTCGAGAGGGGGATGCCGAGAAAGTTCAGAGCGACGGCGTACGCGGTCGCTGGTGAGGACGTGGGAGTGGGGAAGCTTGAGGGAGGAGGCAGACCCTATTTCCGTCACGTCCAGCGAGGAGGCCTCCATAGGACGCAAAGTGGACATGCGCCCATGCCCCGCAACGTCTACGACCTCCTCATCATCTTCGCGGTCATCAATAGCGTTCTCGAGGCTTGTCTTGGAGGTCGAGGCGGCGGCGCGAAGGGAGGTAGCAGCAGCAGCGAGCTCGAGCGTGTGCGAGGACATGACGTCGAGTGCGGGGCGTAAAAGAGTTGCAATCCGAGCTCCTCTTCCCTTTATGACTGCTGAACAGTCTCGCGGCTAAGAAATCTTCACAGCTGCACGTAATATCGCCACCAGAAGCCTTTCTAGACCGTCGTATCGGAGGCGGAAGGCCATGATTTTGCCTGGCGTATGACTGCGGTGCTTCGGACCGAAGTCGCTGTATCGCGGCATGCGTAAATATGAGCTGAAGAGCCTGTCCAGCTGGTCTTCCGTCGCCCGAGTCGCGCTGGCGGCCGAGGACGAACAAAACGCGATGGGAAACGAGAGCAGGCTTCGCGCGGGTGGGCACGAGCTGGCAGTGGCACGAGGCGAAGGTGACAATTGTGACCGCGCGCGAGTCGCGCGTTCGCCCAATCGCGCATCCCGAGTCTTCTCCGCCGCACTTTGCACCCGCCCGCTTCCATCCTACGTACAGTTCTCAAACGCTTCATTATCTGGCTTCAAGCAAAGTAACAGTATTTTCTTGCCGAACGCCACACATCATGCAGAACTACCATCCCCGCCTGAACAACTACCATTCGCACAAACAACACATCCTCGGAAACCAAGGAGCCCGCCCCGCACCCGCCTGGAAGCCCAATGCCCGTGCAGCAGCGTCCGGGTCCGGGTCAGAGGTTGGCAGCAAGATTCTATTGAGTCGTCTCCCTGCAGACGTCGTGGAGGATGAGGTCGAGGTGCGTCCATGCAAAACCGAGTGTTACGAGCGGGTGGCTGACCATGCGTTCGCGGATTCCCTCACCCTCTTCTCGTATCCTTGGCGCGCAGATACTCTTCTCTAAGACGGTAGGGCCAGTGAAAGAGGTCATAATGGTGTACAACTCGCAGGGCAAGTCGCGAGGAACGGCCATCGTCTCGTTCACCCGCCCGGGAGACGCGGTTGTGGCGCGTGCAAAGTACAACGGGAAGATCGTCGACGGACGTGAGTGATTCTTTCACCAAGTGTGCTGAGCGTCGTAGGGGCAAGAAGATGGTGCAATGCGTGCGCAGAACGGGGAGAATGCAAGAGGGAGAGATGTCGCTCTGCGGCCATGACTACGTGAGGCGCTCTCCCTGATACCCCTCCTCGGCTCCACACTTCGCCTCTGCAATATTCCTCCTCTTTGAACAAGAATTCTGATAATGTGCTTGACACATAGGGAGACCCATAAAGATTGAGATCATCACGGACGAGGACGATGCACGCAAGACTGCACCCGCACCCGCACCCGCCGGGCCACCGTCCCTCCTCGACCGCATCGCACCCGCAAACCCCAGACAAGCTGTCGCTGCAGCTGGAGCGCCTCTAGTGTGAGTGCCTCTGCCGATATCATTGTCTTCAACTTGTTCACGCCATCGCCTGCATGTAGGAACGGCCAGAAGAAAGTCGCGACTACACCTGTCTCAGGCAAGGTTCACCTACGCACGAAGAAGGGCCCACGACGGCTCAACAAACAGCGTGGGCAACAACAGGCGGTGCAGCAGCAGCAGCAGCAGCAGCGACAACAGCAGCCCGCGAAACAGAAACAGAACCCGAAGACACGGGAGGAGCTCGACGCGGAGATGGATGACTACCATAGAGTCAAGGTCCAGGGCTAGCGGCTCTGGGACACACATTCTCGCTGTTGTATAATATATGCTTGTGCCGTCTATCGCCTTGTGTTATGCGCGGTCTATTTGGGTTCGTTGATGTTGAGGAATCAAATCACTGAAAAAAGGAACCCTGCATTGTCTCCTCATGTCCCGGGCAGGAGTCGAGCCTGCGTCTTCACGGTTTTGTACCCGAGTCATCGACCCGAAGCCACAACGTGATGATCTAACCACTAATCGACAGGGACCGGAATACAAAACCGTCACGTTAATATATAAGTGCGTATATCATGGATGCCCACGGAACAGCACACGATCCCCACGCCTGTACTGTAAGTATATTCGATACTGCGTGTCCTTCGTGTCGGAAGCCTGTCCGCCGTATATTGTAATGCCGAAGTCGACCAGTAATATTCATTAGAGCGTTGAGGGGAAGGTTCCTACAATACAGTGTACGTAGTGAGTACGTTGATTGTAAGCGAATATTGTTACAGATGCCGCAAAGACATAGATACGAAGTAGGTAGGGTATACTCAAGGTTAATGATACAATAGTCCGTGAGTAGTTCAGTTCTGCAGAGTCGCGTTCGTCAGCTGTTCCTCGAGAACGCGCATTTCGTACGCTCTCTTGAAAGGCTCGTAGAGTTTTCCCGGAATAGCGAAGACGACCTTCTCGAAAGAGTGCTTAAACCTAGGTTCCTGCTTCACATCACCGACGGTCTCACCGCAGTCAAGGAGCTCGGCCCAAATGCTAGCAACAACCTCGACTTTGTTCTGGAAGGAGCATCCGAACGCACCGAGGACAAGTACCTTGTCACCCTTGAGTTCGAACGCCTGCAGGACACGTGCCATGCGATCCTTCATAGAGGCGCGGATGCCATCTTCGAAGAAGGACTCCTCACCGGGTTGGATGTCGTGTTTGTCACGAACCATCGCAGCATTGACTGGCACAGCGGAGACTACGTTGACGGAGTACGGGGGGATGAAGTCGCCGCCCACCAAATCGCGCCCTCGGGACGGAGAGGAGCGGTCGGGTGCAGAAGGTGTGTCGTCGTCGTAGTCTTTCCGGAAGACGACAACGCCGGGAGAGTAGAGCATGGCATGATCCTGGAGCCCGCTGCCATCTTTGAGCTTGAAGCCATGGTGGATGGTGTAGACGGCCTGTGCAACAGGACCGGTCAAGCTAGCAACGAGAGAGCTGGAACGCTTGATGACGTCCTCCTGCTCGCTGCTGCCGACGAGGTAGGAAACATTGCGCTTGCTCGAAGCCGAGGAAAGAACGCCGATATCAGTGGACTTCAGCGGGTCGGTGGAGCGCCCTAAAGCAAGCTGTCTCGCGACGGTGAGAGTCGATTTGCGAGAGAACTCGACCTGCATGGAGGGGAAGGGGGATTTGGGATGAGAGTCTTTCCACAGGGCGAGCCCCTTGTCATAGTGCTCGTAGAGGGTGGTACGCTGGCGACAGAGAAGGATGGAAGGGGCGATGTCGTGTGTTATGTGCATGGTAGTGGTGACGGGTCCTTGGGCATCGGGGAGTTGAGTCACAGAAGACGAGACAACGGGAACGAGGCGCTCTTCGACGTACTTGCCATCTCCGAGCACTATGTTCTGCGTCTCCAACGCGATCGCTGCCCATCGCTCACGTCGTTGGCGCATGGCAGCCTGAGCGCGCCGCTGGCGCTGCTCCACGGCCTTCTGCTTCTTCATGCGCTGACGCTTCGCATCGGCGGTAGCTGCTTGCTTCGCGTGCTTGATACCTTCGACGGCGATGGATGGGGTGGCGGAGCGCCGTGCACGTTGCTGGCGCTGCCGTGAGTGAGGACGAGGATGTTTGGCCATACGGCAACGGAGGAGGATGCAATTCTGGTCGAGTACGTGGGAGATTGAGGGAAGCATGGGGTGGGTGGCTCAAGAGTCAGCAGCATCGCCTCTTTATAGAAAATGACCAAGACCTGCTTACCTAACAGGGCACGGGGTTCCCACGCCTCCAGATAAGATGCTACCCAGAGATTAGATTAGATCTGCACCCAAAGGTTGCAGGTGCAAGCGGCTCTCCGCTTTCCGCCATCATCCTCATCCTCGTCGCGGACCATGGTTGCACCGTTATATACCACCGCTTCAGGTCTTCTCTTCCATGCTGGTAAGATCTTGGTGTGCACCGTCGGTCTGCCCGCTCGGGGCAAGACACATATCTCGCGCGCACTCGAACGATATCTGCGATGGACGGGTGTGAAGACCGCAGTCATCTCGCTCGGAGACTACCGTCGGAAGGTCCTTGGAGGGGCACAGAAGCTCCCGCCGGACTACTTCACGCTGGGTAAGTGCCTCTGTCGGTTGTCGGAGGACTCGCTGAAGTTGGCATGAGGAGAGAAAAGCCCCGAGACTATCAAGCTGCGGGAGAAGGTCCTTGAAGGATGTGAGCAGACGATCTGGGACTTCTTCAACGCAGGAGGACAGGTCGTCATCTACGATGCGAACAATGGTACACGAGAACGCCGCAATGCCGTCGCTGAGAAGTTCGATAAGGCTGGGATCCATGTGATCATGCTCGGTACGTTTCCCTGTCTTTGTTTTGCACTGCCACCAATACACCCCCGCAGAGTCGTCTTGCGACAACGAGGAGATTATTCTGTCCAACATCCGGAGTGTCAAAATCTCGTCACCTGATGTGAGTTGATTCCCTTATTGCTGATCTCCATCACGAGACTCCGCGCATAGTCCCACCTTCCGATGAAGCTCAATGAAACGAGTGGAAGCCCTGTTCATAAACGGGTTACCGAGAATCCTGTATCAACTCCTGACTTGCCACTACGGGCGTTGGCCCTCGTGTCTGAGCGACTCGAACGACAGCAAATAGCGTTGTGACCGTCCATCTCCTTGCATTGCATGGAGTGCATAGCGCCATAACTGTTGCCTCCTCATCTCCAGCAAGTCCAGGATATGCTCATCCCCCATCTGTAGTACCGAGGTTGGGACCCAGAGAAAGCCGTTGCAGACTACTACAACCGTATCAAGGACCACGAGATCCATTATGAGCCCGTCGAGGAGACGACATGGCCGTTCATCCGTATTATCAACGTCGGAGAGAAGATCATGGTCAACGTGAGTTGCGACCTCTCTTAGGAGTGTGCCGATGCTCATTGGGAAAATGTCATAGAACATCCACGGCTACCTCCAATCGCGGGTTGTCTTCTTCCTCATGAACATCCATAATCGATTCCGCACCATCTACTTTGCAAGGGTATGACGAAACAGGTTTCATTCCCTTGGACTGTCATTGACTCGCTATGTAGTCCGGACAGTCCTTGATCGAACATTCCTACAAAGCCGACTCGGACCTTTCTCCTGCTGGATGGGAATACGCAGAGCGCTTGAAGGAGTTTGTACTTGAGCGACGTGCCAAGTCTCTTGCGGAGCGTGGTATCGATCCCAAGGAGCGGCGACTGGTGGTAGGTCCCTTGAACGGTGGCAGTTGTCGACCTCTGCTGATGCTGGCGACCCCGTAGATTTGGACCTCCGCACGTCGACGGTCGCACCATACAGCCTGGCCATTCCTAACTCACAACGCCAATGACCCTGCGCCCCCGGCAAAGGTGAAAGTTATCGAGCGGCCGCAGATGTCCGAGATCAACCCTGGTGTATGGGACGGATTGACTCCCGACCAAGTGCGCAAGTACTACCCCGACGAGTGGGTGCGCTTCGTGAACGACCCGTACGCTTATCGCGCGCCCCGTGCTGAGAGCTATCACGATCTCTGCGGTACGTTCCTCTGCACCGACAACCGATGCCCCAGCTGATCTGAGACATTAATCCTCAGTCCGTCTCGAGCCCACTCTGATCGAGCTCGAGCGCGAGAAAGAGGATCTGCTCATCATCGGGCACGCCTCCGTCATTCGCTGTATCCTCGCGTACCTCATCGGCCTTCCGGCGTCCGAGATTCCCGCTATCGAGGTCGCACGCGGTGACCTTATCGAGGTTGTCCCTACGTCGTACGGCGTGTACTCCCAGGCGCACCACTTCTGGGACGGCCCCGGGCGCAGCAGCGGCCCACCATCGCATGGCAAGGACGAGCACAACTTTTATGAGAACTACGCCGAAGACACGAGGGGTAAGAGGAGACCTGATAGCAGCGTGTCTGGCTCGCCCGCACTGTCGGCTGCATGAATCGCAGGAGGCGGGAGCCGGGTTGGAAACGGGGTTGGTGAGAGGAATGGAATTGAATTGTAGCATTATGGTCCATGGAATGCGGGTGCGCCCTTCTGGAGTCTGTACTCATCGAACCGTGTATCACAGGTTCAATACCTGGCTAGAATTATACAGCAGCAACGGTGATCGTCACTGTCCGTGCTTCATCCGCAGGACTCGGCTGAAGTGTTTGCAAATCGACAGCTGTGTCGGACGACCGGGAGCACCCACCACGTTGGATGGCTCACGGAGCTACTGCATGCAGCCACATGGCCGGCAACGAGCAGCGGCAACGGGCGGGTCTCATTCAGCGCTGCCGTTGACCGCCCTCACACTGTCGGTGGACCGACGGCTTGCGTGGATGCCCCTCGGGACGGTGGTGGGTGGCGCAAATGTCTCAACACTCCAGACATGCCGCTGCTTCGAATCTCAAACGGCCGACGCATAGTGCACTGCCCCAGCGCGTCGATGTGGTCGAGGATCCTATGCTGCCAGCGCCGCAGCAGCAATACTAGTCGCGACCACGATGTCCGACTCCTCTCCCGTTGTCGGGACTCCTACCTGCGTATGTCATCCGACTCGCTGGGAGGCTGCATGATACCTGCGTTCCCTATCACTGTTAGAGGCGGATTTCTCGGCTGAGTGCGCAACTCTAACGTATCCTCGCACTGCATCCATTGGAGTTCATGATGGCGTCAGCGGGCGAGGCATGGCAGCCACGCTACGAGCACGCGAGCTATGCCGATGGAGATAGGGACAAAGTGGGGAACAGCGCCCTGTTCATTTGCACATCTCCCGACTCCGTGCCTTGCGGGAGACCGCCGAGGACGGGCAGAGAAGTCAGCTTAAGCCATGTGGTCGGCGATTTGCGAGTGCGGCTGTGCAGCGCTGACGGCAAGTTCTTTGATCCCCGTGACACATACATACTCAATGGACTGTCAACGGATGCTCGGGGGCCTCCCCACCGAGAGGAGGATGCGCGTGGCGACTGCGCAGTAACGTCAAGCTGATGACCACAAGTGAGACTCAGAACCTCGCAGAACCCGTGTGCAAAATGGCGTTCA